CAAGGTAGAGATATCGTTACTTAATTAAGACTTAATTATTCATTCTTACAAAACAGTGATGAAGATCCAGAGAGGAGGATATGCAACGAGGGGAGAGATTTCCTCAGAACTGAGGTAACGCTGGCAATGAGAAGGATCGAGGTCGGGACGCTGCGGGATTACAGCGGCAGGATTAGGTCGTGTTAGTTAGTTCATTTAGGTCTTCCTAGATCTGCCCGGGTCCCTACACCTTCAAAACTTACACCATAGGTACAATATCGCAATATAGAATTGCTTAGAAGAGACTAAAGGTAAAAGCGACGATCTCTTTGGCCTTTTTTTTTTTCACCATAGTCTATAACCTGTACACTTATATGTTAATAAAAAGGACAATATATTTGAATATCGTTTTGAAAATAGAGCAATCCATATTTAATTCATTTGATAATAAAAATGCTCATATTGGATTAAATAAAAGATTTATTTGCCAATATTTCGGTTGTCTAAATTTATTACATTACAGATTTCATTATCCAAGATCTTGTCTAATTTAGACTAAAGGATAAGTAAAAAAAAAAACGTAATGCCTTGATAAGGGTTTGGCGTTCAGCCAACCGAAATATTGGCAAATAAATATTTTATTAAATCCAATACAGTGTACTCCGCTTATAACGAAGTCGCATTATCCATGACAATCACTTTGTTATATCCGAAGTTTGTTATATCCGCAGTTGGAAAAAAAAATGTTTTGTACCAATAATTTTATTTACTATTCAACTCAAAACAGCAACACAAAGATCAATAACAACCTCATCAGGTGTTTTTGGAGAAGTAGTTTGTGATTTTCTTTTGACATTTAGAAGTCAGTAACAAGTGCTGAACACTCTTTTCGATGTTGTCCAAGTCTGACAGATGCCTATGAAGAGACTTGGACTCATCCTGACATTGAAGAAACAATCGCAGAGTTTGAATGCTCTCCAAGACCTCTTTTGGATGCGGAATGTGGACAATTGGGTCTACTTCTTCATCAACTTGGTCCGTTTCTTCTTCTTCTTTTGCTTGAAGAATGCTCTCGACAATTTCTACATCGGATAACATGGCATTTGTAACGACGTCATTGTCAGCGTCAGCATAAGTTTGTTTAAATAATGTAAAAAAAATACTTATAATATGTTTGCATATTTTAAAATTGTATATTATTAACTTATTTGTTGTGTATCATTAAATTTGTGTCATTCACACGTTGTAATTTGATATATATTATGCATAATATATTAGTAAATTATAATGGTAAATGAGAAAACTTCGTTATAAACGGATAAAATAAAAATTTATACATGCAAATCACTTCGTTATAAGCGAAAATTCTTTATATCCGACTTCGCAATATCCAGAGTTCTTTTAATGGTTTAAGCCCTTCTTTTCTTTCGTGCAGACAATTTCATTCGCTATATGCGGAATTTCGCTATAACCGACTTTGTTATAAGCGGAGTACACTGTATATGCCTTTTTATTATCTAATATTTGAATATATATTTGAACACTTATTCATCGTGTTTTTATAGTTATATATAAAATATAAGCAGCAAACATAAATAAATTCCGAGGATAAGTTTCTTTTATTTCAAAAATAATATAAAATATAAATTGATATAGATAATTAAACCTCAGTGTTTATATCCATTTGTATATATATTATTTGTTTTTAAAATTAACGCCTGACTCTTTTCTTTTTCTCTCCTCTTTTTCACATCTATTTATTATGAAGAAAAGGTCAGGGATTGATATTTAAAAAAATGATTCTCAGATGAGACTTTTATATCACAGAGCGCCATTTAGCGTATTTATGTAAATTTGGACTTAGATATCCATTTCTTGATTTCTCAGAATTCTTCTTGGAACAAAATTTTGGTCGTTGAGGTACAGCCTTCACCACGCTGAAAAGGGACAACAGCACTCATTCATAGTTGGCTTTTCTTTATTTATCAATTAAATAGGTTAGTCAAATATCATGGTACAAAACTAAAGAGAAAAAAATCTTAAAAACTCTTTCTGGAGATTTAGCAACCCACTGAAGACGATGAGAACTATTTCAGAAAAGAAAAATATTTCAATAGAACTCTGTAATTTCTACAGATTAATTGTAAATAGATTCATACACAAAAGAAGTAGTGAGGAAAGTTTTAGAACAGATGTGTAAATAAATCCCTTTTCAAACAAAGGCTCACGTGCACATGGGGAAAGGGAGAAAAAAATTACTGTATTATTTTGTTGTTGTATGGCGAATCTATACAGGGCAATGGGCTCTAATAAAAGTCTTTTTGTTGTTGTTGGTAAAAAACTAAATCAACATTTAATTGATTTTATTCCAGTAGATGGCGCTATACCATCTAATTTGCTGATATGAGTGGCCAGGCTATGCATTTTTGAGCGCTTCTATCTTTGAGTTAGCTGAAGAGTAGTGTGCTTACCTTTCGTTTGCCAATAAAGCAACACTTCAGCCTTTGATCTAACTTATTTACTAAAAAATAACCGGGTAAGTATCCTTCGAGAGAAATAAAAAAATATCATTATTTAAAAACTTCTGTTTTCCGTTAAAATAGAGGCAAAATATACTCTTCTGGTAGCAAACAAATTAAGTGAGATGAGACCTTCCCTCCACCACCTTATAAATTAGGGAAAGTCTAGCTAGAGTCCAGAGGTCATTATTTACAGAACTTCTACCTTCCGTTAAAATAGAGAATAGTGACACTTTCTGGTAGCAAGGAAATTAAGTGATATGAGACCTTCTTTTCACTACCATATCAAATTGAGAATATCAATCTAAAAAGTCCTGATTTCCCGTTATGGACTCGTACGTCTCAAGTGGTTTTTATTTTATGAGATGCCGCGATATAGACTCTGTTATAATATCACAAATTACATAAAGAGCCAGTTTGCTGAGAATATTTTTGTAATAAAAAAGATCAATGCGGATAGCAAGTAACCTTGAGAAATATGTGCTTCTTTCAGATATATCTTATTGCGATGTATTTCACATTTAAGATTTGCATTCAACCTCGACATAGTTTTCTGAAATCACTATAGATTAAAACTCTCTGTCTGAGGTACCGGCTAGTCATCCCTTTCATTTCAATAGAATCAGTATATACAAGGTGCGTTCATTAATTTCCAGGACTGCTCTGTATCTTTGAAAAAATAAACCAAATAAAAAAACTAATTTGATATTTTTCAAAATATGCCCCTCCTGCCTCAATACACCTGTTCCATATTTTTTTCCAATTGTCGAAGCAGGAGATAAAATCACTTTTTGAGAGGTTCCTCAAGGTTGCCTTCGATTCAGCTTGTATCATATCAACGTTGTCAAATTTCCTTCCTTTTAACTTCATTTTAAATTGAGGATAGAGGAAAAAGTCATTGGGGGCTAAGTCGGGGGAATAGGGTGGATGAGGGATCTGTATGGTTGAATGCTTGGTCAAGAACTGCGAAACAACATGGGCTGTATGCGGCCGCGCATTATCGACGTGAAGTATCCAGTCATTGTTTTGCCATCTTTCGGGTCTTTTAAGGCGCACTGCCTCCCTTAAGCGCCTCATTATCCCCAAATAAACCTCTTGATTAATTGTACGTCCGAAAGGAATGAATTCATGGTGAACCAAACCATTAATATAAAAAAATGTAACAAGCAATGTCTTGACTTTGGATTTTGTAAATCTTGCCTTTTTGGGTTTCGGTTCCCCTCTTTCAATCCATTGGCTGGATTGACGTTTGGTTTCCGGGTCATACTGATACACCCATGTCTCATCCTCGGTAATGATGTTTTGTATCCATTCTGGATCGGTCCGAGTCATTTCAACCATGTTTTTGCAGACATCCATTCTAACCTCCTTTTGTTCCTCTGTTAGAATCCGGGGAACAAATTTTGAAGACGTCCGGATCATGTCCAAATCTTTTGTTACTATTTGATGACACAGTCCTACAGATAGTCCAGTCTCTGAAGATAAGTCTTTAATAGAAATTCTTCTGTTGGATTTAATTAATTCCTTTATTTTGAGCTTGTTTTCCTCACAACGTAATGATCTTGGACGCCCAGTATGCTGATCATCGTTTACCTCTTCCCGACCTTTTAGGAAGCGTGAAAACCATTCAAAAGTTCTTGAACGGGATAAAGCTGCATCGCCAAAAGCTTCTTTAATCAATTCATACGTCTCAGTAGCACTTTTTTTCAATTTAAAACAAAACTTAATGCAGATTCTCTGCTCTTCGAAAATGACCATTTTAAAATTAGAAATGCGAACCTTACAAGGAAGTTGTTTTGTTCTATTTTTAGATCGAGGCGTGCGCCACGAGACTCTTGCTTTCAGTCAGGTGTGGTCGAATGTCCAATATTTAACTCTGTATAAAAATATTTTCTTTAGCTTTTTTATTTATTTTATTTTTCAACCAGTCCTGGAAATTAATGAACGCACCTTGTATATAGAGAAGGGGTAAATTATTTCGTTAATGCTTATGTAATAGCTCTCTAATTATGGTAATAACCCCTTACAGAGAGGATATATGCATACTTAATATCGCTACAATCTAAAATATATATAGAGCAGTACGGCTGAAAAATAGACTAAGGCGCTGGTTAAAAACAGTTTGTAGGTAGCGTTCAAAGAGACGCGGCCGTACTGGGCAGTCTCATTGCTGGAGCCATATCAGTACTCATTTTCCTAGGGATATGGACTTTTTATCGTACTCTGGAGTGTTTTTTCCTCCTCTCTCCCCATTTACATTACTACATATATATATATATAATATATAATGCGGCTTTGGTTGTAAAAAAACATTTGAATATTTTCCTGCATGTATTTCTCTTCAACGAAAAATCAAAATTTATTTTAAGGAGAAATAACGATTATTTCTAACCTTAGGGATGAGGTATGGAAGGATGAATTGTGAAAAGTAATGATAAACAAAAAAATAAAAATGTCCAGGGATGGGGGTCCTACCCACAGTGTTCCGCTTACCGGCCAGATAGCCGGGTAGCCTATTGGATATTGCATCTGCCTGGTAAGGGGAACAATGTGGGTTCGATCCCCATCCCTGGACACTTTTATTTTTTCCATTTATCATTACTCTTCACAATTCATCCTTTCATACATCATCCCTAAGGTTAGAAATAATCGTTATTTCTCCTCAAAATAAATTTTGATTTTTCGTTGAAAAGAAACTCATGCTGGATTATTTTCAAATGTCGTTTCACATATATATATTATACAAAAATATTATTTTATTTCAAAAATATAACTTTTATAAAAAACTACTCCGTAAAGTCGACATCCAGATGCGGCCGCTTTCTCTATATTGTTTTTGTTTCCTTTTTGAGCTCGAAAATGATGAACTTTGGTTAGCTGCCCGTAAATCCATCTTCTCTCGCTATTATTTTTGGTCTGCTCAAAACATTTAGTAATTATGTAAATACTTATTATAGTTTTTCTTTTCTCCATTTTGCGCCTTAAGTTAGGTAGCACTTTCCTCAAATTATGTATTCAATACTTTATTAGAACAATTAAAGCAAATTGATATTAAAACTGTTTTTTTTAACGACTGCGTGCAATATCATAAAATAATCTTACCGCAAACCATTGGCATAATGTTCATGTATTCAAAACAAAGGCAAACTAATAATATATCTGTAAATAATCAATATGACATATATATAAAGGAAAGCAATAATTCTTCTAGCCCATCAAAGAATCTAACTGTCAAAATAGAAAATTTCAACGAGAGGAATTAATGTTTTAAAAAGGCAAATGTCAACTCTCCTGTTACAAGAAAACCTATAACCTATACGCAATTAATTGACGATCTCTGTAATCGTGTTAATCATTCAAAGAAGTTTTGAATCTATGAATTAGGTCTTCTTTTGAAATACTCAAATTCCCTGGCTGAAAATAGGTGAAAATTTGCCAAGTAGCCATCAATCTTAATAAAATTAGGTACTCTTTACCTCAACATGAACGCATAATCTATATTTAATATTTAGCGAGAAAACTTATAATTAATATTGTAAAATCGAGGTTTGAGCTGGGTTTTGTTGTTTTTATATATTTTGTAATCACCTATATTGTGTTGCAGACCTGTGCCAGACCGCTATGCTGCCTGTCCTTGCTGTGACCTTGGCGTGAAGTCTTCTGTGACCATGGATCAGTGATTCCTTCCCACTCATATCAGCCTTGTACATATTTCTTATGTGTATATTGTCTTTGGAATTCCTTCATTTATTTAATTAAATATTTGATCACTTTAATTGTATCCGTTTCACATTTTATTTCGTGATTAAGTGGATAGTGACCCTTCACTTTTGTTGCTATCTTTCTCAGTTGCTGAGTTCATTCTGAACAAAGTTATGGAAAGTGTAGTCTTTTAAAGATATAATTTGCTAGATGGTTGAACATATCAAATTCATCAAGGTTATATTTTCTCATGAGAACGTTTAGCTTCAATTTTCGTTAATAAAGTAAAACTGACATGTGTGGAACCGCCTGGTCAAAATAGAACATAACTCTAGATAGACGATAAATACAATAGTTTGCACAAATGCATTTCACGGCGGTAGGAATAGAATTTGTTCAAAAAGACTTCCTTAATGTCAAAATTCTATCATAAAAAAAAAATTCATCTATTTTTGACGCGTGTGCTTTCCTCTGAAATAAAGCAATTTGGGAGAGGCCCTACCATTATTTTATCATTATAATAGGGGCAGTGGAAATTTTTTTTTTTTTTAAGAAACATAGTCGTGTCGCTAATGCATCTTATTAAAAATCTCTCACACCTTTCGCTTTCTCTTTAAATTCCATTGCAGATTGTGTAGAAGTAAATAAAACAGTTAAGATTCCAGAGATATTATAATGGGACATATTGTTGATTTTGCTTAGAATTATTAATGAAACTGATTCCAATAATTATTAATTAAACATTATATTTATTGATTTACAAGAGAGAGAACAAAATATAAAAGGGAAACTAATATTGAACAAAGGAACTTTTTCTTGTTCGGTTAGCGCCTATTTACCTGTGAGCTTACACACACTCTGTGGAACAATTAATTAGTATATATACAACATACGCTCCCCTGTGTGTAAGCCCTAATCAGCAAGTCAAAGGCTATCTGCACATTTCCATAGCTTGTCCTTATAGTCCACACCATATCTTTGATTGCATCCAACAGCAACTGGTCTGGCCTTTCTTTTATATATGCCGTCATTTGATGTTTTCTTCGTACTGTAGACGCATTTACTATTGTTGACTCTTTCATACCATTTTCCCTTGGTACTAGTGTCCATACTTTATGCTTCTCTATCTCACTGAGCTCTTCTTCCATTGCTTTGTGCCATTTATTTCTTTCTCCACTATCCATTGCTTCTTCAAAGTTCTCCGGGAATATAATGATCTATTTCCATAATTAAGTTTGCATCATTCCTATCTTTTATTCTTTGTGAGCGTCTAACTCCTACAATCAATTTCCTTTCTTGTTCTTCAAGTCTTGCTTTGTGCCGTTCTTCTAAGATGCTCTTTGTTTCTCCTTTCTTTCTTCCTCCTTTTAGCATCTTTCCTGTATCGGTTCAGTTTGTGATGAGTCATTTTTTCACAGTCACCACCTAGTTTTACTGAAGTATCCTCCTGAGACTTCATTTCACTCTCTGTGACAGGATTGTCTTATTTCAAGATAAGAAAGTCTTCAACCATTTCTTCATAATTCACTTTATAGGTCAAATTATCACAATTAGTATCTTCCTGAATATCATTTGCATAATCAATTCCTCTCTTATCTTCAATAAATATTCTGATCTGACTTCATGAATTCTCTTTGTCATTATATCATATATTCTGTAGGCTTTTCTTTTAATGGAATAATCAATAAATATTCCCTTTCTATCCTTTGGTGAAAACTTGTTTCTTCTTGGTTTGCTCTCAAGCCAATGTGTCAAACATCCAAATATTTGAATGTGTTTGACCGATGGCTTCCTGCCATTCCATCTCTGCATAGGTGTATGGTGCTTGATAGACCTGTGGGGTGTACAATTCTTAATGTATGCAGCTGTAGCAATTGCCTCTGCCCAAAACTCATGGGTAATTTTGAGTAAATTAGTAAGGCTCTTGCTGTATCTACAAGAGTCCTATTCACTCTCTCTGCGACTCCATTACTTTGTGGTGTGTATGTGGTGGTAAGTTGGTGATGGATCCCACTTCTCTTGAAAAGTCCTTCAAATCTAGAGTTACAAAATTCAGTTCCATTGTCGGTTCTTACATCTTTTATTCTAATACTTAATTCGTTTTCGGCTCTTGCTTTAAATTCTTCAAATCTCTCAAAGGTCTCATATTTTGATCTCAGGAAATATACAAAGATTCTTCTTCTGTAATCATCTACTATAATAAGAAAATACTTAGATCCTCCTAAAGATTGACATGGCATTGGTCCACATAAATCCATATGAATCAACTGCAGGGGCTTAACTGTATATTTTTCTGTACTATTATATGGCTTCTGAACCAGTTTTCCCATCATGCATACTTCGCACTCTGGTAACCTTTCGAATTTTAAATCCAATCCTCTTACAATGTGTCGTTGAATCATTTTTTCCATGTATTCTTCATTTATATGGTTTAATCTCATATGCCATAAACTTATATTGCTATTTTTATTTGATAAATGTGTATTTATAACCATGACATTTTCATATTTTGATATTGGTACATTTCTTAGCTTTGTTTCCATCATAAACATTTTATCTTTAATATATGCCTCAGAAACCTAATCATTCCCTTCATTATAAATTTTTGCTCCATCCTTATTGAAAATAACTGAATTTCCTTTGTTGACTAATTCGTATACTGACAAGAAATTATTCCTTAAACTTGGTACATGTAAGATATCTTTAATGCGAATATTTTCTTGGCCTTCACTTGTGCATGTAGTAAGTCTTACATCTCCTTTGGCTATGGCTTGGGTAGTTTTGCCCTTCTCAGCTAGGTTGATTTCACTTTTGTACTCTGTCACATTTTCCATCAAAGTTAGGTTTGGGGTTAAATGTGCGGTGCATCCTGAATCTATACACCATATTTTCTTATCATTTCTCCCATCCGGTGAATCTTCAAATTCTTTTACATATGTTTCAAATGCTTGCTCATTAATTCCATTTTTCATAGTATCTACTAGGTTATTTGAATGTTCCCTACTGTATTTGTGATTTCTATAATCTAGAGTCCATTTCTTTTGATATCCTTGTTTCTGTTTATCTCGAAACCAGCAATCATTAGCTAGATTTCCCTTTTTATTACAAACAAAAAATCTTTTTGGCTGAAATTGTTTAACTTTTCTATCTTTAATTCTGTATACTTGTTCATGCCCATTCTCAACTGATTGATTCAATCTCATATTTCTTCTTGACTCCTCTTCTCTGAGAGTTTGTTGAATCTCTTCTAATGTTGCCTCTCTCTTAGATCGTAAGACAATAGCAATATTTTCATACCTTGGATGTATGCCTCTAACAATATGAAATGAAAGTTCTCTTGAGGTAAATTGATGCCCTAATGATGAACTTCTAGCAACAATATTTTTTGCCCTCGTTATATATTCATCTGCAGTTTCATTATATTTCATTTTAATGTTCTTTAATTCTAAGCCTATATCAATCATTTTAATTTCCAAATTGCCTGTGTATGTTTTTCTCAGTGAGTCCCATACTTTCTTAGCATTTGTTTCTCCTATGAACATTCCAGCTTGTTCATTAATCAATGTTGTGATGATTATCCCAAAAGCTTCATCATTTTTATAACTCCAAATCTCCCAAGAACTTTTTTCTTCCATATCAGGTTCTGGATAGGAAATAAAACATTTAAATAATTTTCTTCCTCTCAGAACTGCGCCGATTTTCAACGCCCATATTTGTAATTTGTTCCTGTTAATGGTTCAATTTTTCTTTGGGATAAAAAATTATATACAGCCATTTTCGCCTTTTGAGCTAATATAAACAAACCAATATAATTTAAAAACAAATATATATTTTAAATTTATTTAAATATTGGGTAGCTTTTAAACATGCAATA